TGTGAAATGGGGTTAAGAATTCCAATGTCAGGGAGATGAAATGAGCACTAAGGGAGATACCATCTCTGACTGTGTTTTGTAAACTCTGCAGAATATACACATGTAAGGGCTAGTAGCATTATCTTGGAGCCTCCCAGTCCGGTTTCTGCAGCCCCCTCATTAAGGCCCCTCCCCAGGCCATGGAATGACAAAAGCATCCCTTCAATGGGCGGGGAACACAGGCCTGGAAGTAGCAAATCTAGAAGCTAGTGCAGCAAAACAGGCGTGGGTTCCTTCTCTTTTATGTTAATAATCGAAAGGAACACCTTTATTAACCTTAAAATTTTTTTAATATATTCGTTTACGTTCATATCTGTACCTTGTGAGATGGGTGCAATTATCTTCATTTTACTGATGAGAAAACTGGAGATGAGATTTCATGGAAGGAAGAAGCCAAGCTTCAAATTCTGTGACATTTGGCCCAATCACCTGAGCCCTCGGTTTCCGCAGCTATAAAATGGGGTGACAGCTGTATTAACTCAATGGTGATGATGGGTATTTAGTAAGATAATGTATGTATGTGCGATGCCTGACACGGGTGCTGGCACATCCTGGTGGTACCATGGGTGCCTCACCATAGCACCTGCTCCCAATTCCATGTTTTCATCTTTATGTTGAGGGATCTCAGGGGCCTCTAAAAAATGCAAGAGGAATAAAGACAGTGGGAGTAGCTGCTGGCATGGAACCATGTTCTGCCCAAGGAATAAACTGAGAGAGGAGCTAAGAGTCTTCTTTTGAAAATATTAAAAATGTCTGTTGATGAAAGTAGGCTTCTCCTGGATCTATGATTAAACACAGTTTTAGACCAGGCCAGAGTCAGGATTAGGAAGGCACTGAGGGCTAGCCCACACCCAATTTGGAGTTCCCACCATGTTGCTGTCTTCCCCAAAATGACTCCAATTAGTAGAGAGTAGAACTCAGCCGTCAAAGTTCTGGACCATGGTCAGGAATGTCTCCTCAGGTACCTTCACCTGACATTGCCAGGTACTGAGGACTTCCTTGGCTGAAGGTGGACACACAGCCGTGGTGGGAGCCTGAAGGTGCTGGAGGCAAGAGCCTGGAGAGCTGCTACAGAAAACGCCCAGAACTCAGGCCTGGGGCCCGCATTCCTGTGCCTCCTCTTGGAAAGGCCTTTCTCCCTCTCACCCTTATTCATTCCTTCAACAGTGTTTTGAACACCGGCTATATGCCAGCTTCCGGGAGCAGCAAAGATAAACAAAACACTCTCTGAGATAAGTAAAACTGTACTAATTCTAAAGATAATAAAAATTTTAAAAGATTTGACAATTATAGAGCCCTCACTCTTTGCCAGGTTCTAGGTGTTGACTCGTGTAATCCTCACAGCATCCCTCTAAGAGACGTAGGAGTGAAGAGATGTGGGGACACACAGGAAGAGCAGACTGTTAAGCACAGTATGTCAAGATGGGCTTTTCCAAAGAGGTAATGGTGTCGCTGGGGGAAAGCAGAACAGGGACTTTCTAGCAGACAGACGCAGCAAGTGCAAAGGCACAGAGGTGGGGATGCATGTAGGGAAGCAGGGAGGTGGGATGGGAAGCGTTGGTGCCACATATGAAGGGCCCCAGAAGGGTGTTATACAGGGAGATGAGAAAGAATCAGATGCATGTTCTGATTTTCCTGGAGTAACATGGGAGGAACAGCAGGGGGCGCTCCTGGGTGCCAACAGAGGAAGCCTGCGGAAGTGGGGTTTGGATGGAGGGTCAAGACAGACAGAGATTTCTAAGGCAGAATCTCCGGGCTTCAGTGACTCTTGCCCAGACACAGCCCAGTTTATCAGCCTCCAGGCGCCTCGGTGGGAAGGTGCAGCAAGCACCTCAAATGCAGTGTGTTGGGGTTTCAAGTCATCCTCCCTCTTTTTTTTTTTTTTTTTTTTTTTTTAGCTGAGCCATCTTGCTACCTGTTGGCAGCTCAGCGGCTGCTCAGCTCGGGCTGGACTCGAACCA